CCCATGGACTGAGAGGTTCCAGTTCGTTTCTTGGTCAGGGCACATGCCTGGGTTGCCAGATCAATCCCCAACAGGGCATGTGCAGGAGGCAGACAATCAGTGTTTCTCTCTCGCATCAATATTTCTGTCTCTCTCCCTTCCTCTCACTCTAAAAAAATCAATAAACATATATATGAAAAGTAAAAAGATTAGAATACAACAACCCAAAATCTATGGGACAAAGGAAAAACAGCTCTATGAGGAAAATTCATAGCACTATAGGCTTATCTCAAGAAACAAGAAAAAGCTTAAATAAGTAACCTAACTTTACACTTACAGGAATTTGAAAAAGAACAATAAACAAAGCCCAGAGTGAGTAGAAGGAAGAAATAATAAAGATCAGAAAAGAAATAGACTAAAGAGAGTCTTAAAAAAAAAAAAAAAATACAAAAGATCAATGAAACCAAGAGCTGGTATTTTGAAAAGATAAACAAGATTGACAACTTTAACCCAACTCATCAAAAAAAAAAGGGAGAAGACACAAATAAATAAAATCAGAAATGAAAGAGAAGTAACAACTAACACCAAAGAAATATTAAAAAATGTAAGAAAATATTATGAACAATTTATGCCAACAAATTAGACAATCTGGATGAAATGGATAAATTTCTAGAAACATAGAATCTTCCAAAATCAAATCAGGAAGAATCATAAAACCTGAATAGACAGATTATAGCTAGTAAAATTAAAGCAATAATTTAAAAACTTCCAACAGTCACCTTGGCCAGTGTGGCTCACTTGTTTGGGTTTCATCCAGTGCAACAAAAAGTTGCCAGTTTGATTTCTGGTCAGAGACATATACCCATGTTGTGAGCTTGATACCCCTGGTAGGAAGCAGCTGATCAACATTTTACTCCCACATAAATGTTTCTTTTTCTGTGTGTTCCCCTCTCCCTTCCTCTCTCACTTAAAATCAATTTTAAAATAATTTTTTTTAAAAAATAAAAATATAAAAAACTCATGTAATCAAAAGCCCTAGACTAGATGGCTTCACAGATAAATTTTACCAAATATTCAGAGAGGAAATAACACCTATATTTATCAGACTATTAAAAAAATGAAACAGTAAAAAGACTCCCAAGCTTATTTTATCCTAATTCCAAAACCAGATAAAGACACCACAAAGGAAGAAAATGATAGGCCAATATCCCTGATCAACATAGATGCTAAAATCCTCAACAAAATATTAGCAAACCAAATCCAGCAATACATTGCAAAGATCCAATACCACAATCAAGTGTGATTTATTCTTGGGATGCAAGGTTGGTACGATATCTGCAAAGCAACAAACGTAATACACCACATAAAATGAAGGCTAAAAATCACACGATTATACCAGTAAATGCAGAAAAAGCATTTGATAAAATCCAGCACCCATTTCTGATAAAAACCCTCAGCAAAGTGGGAATAAAGGGAATATATTTCAATATAACAAAGGCCGTATATGACAAACCCATAGCCAAAATCATACTTAATGGGCAAAAACTACAAGCCTTCCTTTTAAGATTGGGAACAAAACAGGGATGTCTGATTTCACCATTCTTAATCATTATAGTATGGGAAGTTCTAGCCACAGCAACCAAATAACAAAAATAAATAGAAGGTACCTAAATTGGAAAGAAAGGAGTAAAATTGTCATTATTTGCAGATGGCATGATCCTGTATATAGAGAATCCTAAAGACTCCACCAGAAAAACAAGTAGAACTGATCAATGAATTCAGTAATGTCGCAGGCTACACAATAAATATCTAGAAATTACTTGCATTTTATACACCAATAAAGAGCTATTAGAAAGGGAAACAAAGAAGACAATCCCATTCACAATTGCTTCAAAAAATAAAATGAGTAAGAATGTAAAAGATTTATACTCAAAAATTATATGACACTGAAAATAAAAGTGAAGAAGCTACAGATAAATGGAAGCATATAGATAGGTAGAGTTAACATCTATATAGATTGCAATCTACACATTCAAAGCAATTCCTATCAAGATACCAATAAGATGCTTCACAGAACAAGAACAAAAATTTATATAGAACCACAAAAGACCCCGAATAGCAACACTAATCTTGCAAAAGAAGAACAAGCTTGCTACCTAATATAGTTTGCTACCTAATATCAAACTATACTACAAGGTCATAGTAATCAAAAGAGCATGCTACTAGAATAAAAACTGACATATAGATCAATGGAACAGAATGGAGAGCCCAAAAATAAACCAATGTCTCTATAGTCAATTAATATTTGACAAACGAGGCAAAAACACACAATGGGCTAAAGACAGTCTATTCAATAAATGGTGTTGGGAAAATTGGACAGAAATGTACAATTAAACTAGACTACCTTCTTATACTACACACAACAATAAACTCAAAATGAATTAAAGACTTAAATGTTGGACTCAAAACCATAAAAATTTTAGAAAAAAAACATAGGCAGTAAAATCTTGGAAATTTCTTACACCAATATATTTTTTTATATATCTCCTTGGGAGAGGGAAACCAAAGAAGAAATAAACAAATGGAACTACATCAATCTAAAAAGAGTTTGCACAGCACAGGAAACCATCAACAAAATAAAAAGACAACCCACTGAATGGGAGAACATATTTACCAATGATTCATCTTATAAAGGTTTAATGTCCAATATTTATAAATAACTTATAAAACTCAACACACAAAAAATCCAATTAAAAATGGTCAAATTACCTGAATAGACACTTCTCCAAAGAAGACATAGAGATGACCAACAGACATCTGAAAAAGGTGCTCAACATTACTAGTCATCAGAGAGATTCAAATAAAAACCACAATGAGACATCACCTCACACTTGTCAGATGGTTATTATCAATAAATCAACAAACAACCAATGTTGGAGAGGATGTGGAGAAAAGGGAACCCTCATGCACTGTTGGTGGAAATGCAGACAGGTACGGCCACTATGGAAAGCAGTATGGAGTCTCTTCCTACTTAAAAAATGGAACTGCCTTATCACCCAACAATTTTACTTCTGGGAATTTATCTGAAGAAACCCAAAATAGTGATTCAAAAGAATATATGCACCCCTGTGTTCATTGCAGTGTTATTTCCAATAGCCAAGATTTGGAAGCAGCCCGAGTGTCCATCAGTAGATGAGTGGATATAACAGCTATGATACATTTACAAAATAGAATACTGCTCAGCCATAAAAAGGAAAGAAATTTACCCTTTGGGACAACATACATGGAATGGAGAACATTATACTACATGAAATAAGCCAGAGAAAGACAAGTACCATATGATCTCACCTATGAAACCTAATGAATGAACTGGACTAACAAGCAAATCAGAGACAGATTCATAGATAGAGAGTAGGCTGACAGCTGTCAGAGGTGAGGAGGTGAGTGCCTTGGGAGACAGAGGGATTGAGAAAAAAAAGAGAACTCATTGACATGGACAACAGTGTGGTATTTGTGGAGGGGGAGCGGGAAAAGGGTGGGGGTTGAGGTGCAAGAGGGTGTAGGGGGTATAAATGGTGATGGGAAAAAAAATAAAAGAAAGAAAACGATGACCCTGGTAGACTGCAAAATACTAAACAGCTTTTTGAAACAGGATGGAAAAAGATTAAATGAAGCTTATGGTTTGTAACAAGTGTAAAAAAAAAAAAAAAGACAAGATAATGGACCCTTCTCTAAAGTCTCTAGGAGGAATACAACTCTGCCAACACCCTGATTTTAGGACTTCTGATCTCCATAACTGTGAGACAACAAATTTATGCTGTTTTAAACCACTGTTGTTGATAACAATAGACGAGTCAGAAGAAACTAACACAGCTGCCAAGAGAGCAGAGAGGAAGGTTAAAAAGCAGTGGAGGCTAGGGGCAGCCTAGGAAGGGACCCACAGAACAGTCAGCTTTAAAACTCTACCAACTTTGGGAAACAGTGAAGCTGGAGGCAGTAGAAACTTTCCAGTCCCCTTTTTCTTCCCCTAGTACTAGCACTAGAAAGGACCTCAAACCATGGTTGCGGGATAGGGGAAGAAAAGCAGCCAGAGAAGATGGGAAGAAGGAAAAAAAAGAGCAATTACTCCTTCCCACATGCAGGCTTCTAGGAGGTTCAAAGCCCTGACAATCTAGAGAGATTACTCATGATACGGAGTATCTTCATTACTGGGCTGAGGCTACCTGTATTGTCTGAGAGTGTCATAAAAGGTCCCAGAGGGAAAACAGCATGGCTATGTCCATCTAAAAAGATAGTGGAAGGTGAAAATGAAACTACAGCATGACTACATCTGCAAATGGAGCCTGCTTTCCATACAGGGCATGTCCTCTGTTTTCTGGGGATGTCAGCTTCTTCAAAGGCCCTGCACCTCATAAAGGTAAGAATAATTAACACAGAGAAAGAGGCCAAGGTTTGGGCTTGAGGGAAAGATTTTATCCTGTTCAGCCAGATAAGTGGGAAGGGATGACAAGAAAAATCAGAGGGAAGGTCAAGAGGACAGGGAGGATGTGGTAGTGTTCACCCAGCTTACCTGTCCATGCTCCACTGCCCTGGGATCCAGTGTCCCCTATGTCTCTACCGCTTCCTGTGGCTCCAGACATCCCACATCCCTAGCTGAGGTGAGCTCAGTGAACAGAGGCATCCTAGCCTGGCTTCCACCCAGACAATGCTGGGGCAGCAGGAGGAAAGGTTTCTCTCTCAACAGCAACCCCTAAAAGAGAAGAGATGGGTGTTTGCATGGGTGTATGTGTGAAAGGCAAGAACGGATGCGAAAGGATGAGAGGAAGTGCAAATAACTTGCCAATCATTGCAAAATCTCCCCTGATCATCAGTTCAGCTGCAGGCAAAAAGGGAGGGGAAGGAGAACTGTGGGCGTCTAGGTGGGCTTAAATTTAGCCAGGCCAGTCAGGGTCAGTGGAAACCAGCTGGTCCCCGGCAGGACGTGGAGGGAGCTCTTCATATTTCTCCCCAGCTGAGGGGCAATGGCCAGATCCTGGCAGGCCCCACAGCTTCTACTGGCCATTCTGGTGGCCCTGGTGGCCCTCACTTACCAATTTAGGAGGAAAACTTTTATAAGTATCAAAGAAGTGCCTGCATCAGAAGCTTATGTGATAGCCACCATGCAGTTTGTGACCAATGAGTTCAACAGAGAAAGTGATGACAAGTACAACTTCCGGATTGTGCGAGTTATGAAGGTCAAGAAGCTGGTCAGTGGGCTCCTCTCTCATCTCTTCACCATGCCCCTATGCTAAGGGACTGCTGGCACTCTGGGGAAAGTCCACTCATGTGAAATTCAGCCTCATTTAGTGTAAAGTGGGTAGTTGAAGAGAAACATAAATTCACTGAAGGGGCTAAAGTTAAGTCACTTAACTGGTGCCCAGTACCAGGAGTCAGTACAAATCTATCTGCTGCTGCCTCTGTAAATTGAGGCCACATGGCCCCGCAAAGCCTAAATATTTATTCTCTGGCCCTTTGCAGACAAAGTTTGCAGACCCTGTACCAGAATAATTGGTATCATTTGGGTTTTCTAATGGGTGGCTTTGCACATAGACTGGTTTCTAGTGAATTTTCTTCAAATGACAAGAGGAGGCATGGGAGTCAGATGATAGGGGAGAGAAGGACTCACCGTTCTGTTCAGAATGGGGTCCTGGAACTTTGGCACCACAAGAAACAGTTCCCACTCCCAGAAGCTATGGAGAAGAAGAAATCTTTTTACCTCCTTGCCACTTATTTCCCACAGGTTACTGACCACATGGAGTATCATGTGAACTTTGAGATGCGGCGGACTACCTGTCAAAGACTAGAGACCAAAAACTGCACGTTTCAGGAAGGAGAGCTTTACAAGGTACTGGGTGAACACACATTAACTCAGAATAAACTCATTTTTAATGGGATTTTCCTATTGTTTTAGGATAGTGCGGGATGGAATTATTGGGGATATATTTAAGCTTGCTTAAAAAGAAAGCAGGATAACAAACACCTGCTTTTTCAAAACAGAACAGTGAAGGTGAGAATGACCCAGATTCTGCCTGGCAGGTACTGCTCCTTTATTGTTTGGGAAAAAATGGGAACATTGAAATGGTTTAGAGGGGAGCACTAAGTGGCTGAGCTACAATGGAACATTCTACAGTTGAGGGAAGTAGTTAATTATTAATAATGTTTTAGCAGAGAGTGGGACCTCACTGATGTGCCCTGATGAATATCTGAATATCAGCCTCATGTTAACACAAAATCACTGGGCTACTGGCCTCTGTTACTTTCATCTAGCAGTGTTGGGGGGGGGGGAGAGGAAATATGAAAATTAGTTCAGAGATAGTTTAACTTGTGGTAGGAGTGGGTTGGGGTGAGGGAGCCACTTCCCCCAAGAGTGGCCTAGTGTCCTACATGCTTCATTCCCACACAGTGTTGTCACATCTGAGGAAGGCTGGTCAGACCACCATTGCTGCAGTGTGCCCCGTCACGATGGGCCCACATGCATAGTGGCCTTGAAGTTCTCAAAGCCTACAGGCCCTGCAATCTCTTTTTTTTTGCCCAAATTAAAATGAGGATGATCATATGTCTCACCCTGCCTGGAGTAGTCCTTATTTTACCTAACTTCTTAGTATAACCATTCACGGCATCCCTATTTGCTTATCCCATGCCCTGGTTCATAAACTATATGGTGACCTTAGTTATAATGGCTTCAGTGTTCTCAACATAGAAACATGTTATCAGGAGCTCCCTCCATACTTTCTTTACAAATAATTTTTCTAAATATAGCAAAATATACTTTTTTTTTGGTTTTTCCCTGGAGAACATCAAAAAATCAATTTCTTTTTAAGTAATTGAAGATAACAGTAGTAAAATTAGAGGATTTTGTTGATGTGACAAATTTAATTGGTGGAATTAGATATTCTGATTTCTGTTTTAGGAAAAATGTAAATGCGTGTTAAGCCTCCCACCACCACCACATCCCCCACCCTGAACTTTCCAATGAAGAGAAAAATAACAACATGGCACTAAAAACTGATAATATGTAAATTTTATTTATTGATTTTTTTTCATTATGGGGGAAGAGAACAATTAAAAAGTAAAAGAACATCTTGAGAGAGAATAGAGACTAGGGAAGGAGAACGAAGATAAGATGAATTAGTGTATGGATGGACAAATGAAGGATGGGAGGAAAGAAGAAAAGATAGATGAATTGGGTGAAAAAAAATGAAGGAAAGAAAGGCTAAATTAATGGAAAGAAGGATGGATTGAGATGGATAAGAGGATAGATGGATAGATGGATGGGTGCGTGGATGAAGCCAATACAGGTCAAGTAAGAAAGTGTGAAGTAAAAAACACATAAGTAAAAATGAAGAGGGAAAAAAAATCAGTGAATATGTGTGGGGTGGACACTTTATTTCTAGTTTCCAATCTTAACTACAAATAGAAGGACATTTTCTGAGATGGTCTCGGCTCTAATACTCTCAAGTGATTAAAATAACGATAAAGAAAAAATATATCTGAACTGGAAGTGAGGTGGTGTCATTTTCCCCATCCACTATATTGTATCCTCTATTTTCCCTTTAAGGTTTTCACCTTGCATGTTATCTTTTTAAAATATTGTTTTTTATTTTGTTTTGTTTTGTTTTTAGCAAATTGAGTGCTTTTACTCAGTGTTTGTTGTTCCCTGGTTTGAAAAGTACAGAATTCTGCACAAAAATTGCACCAATGGCTAGGTGTCCTGGAGCACATACCTGCGGTCACTATGTGTAAGAGTATCCTGCAATAAGCAGTAATTCCAAGTACAGAAAATAAATGTCTACCCATTCTCTTAATCTTCTTAATGTGTATAATTCAAGTCTTCCCAACATTCTTCAGTTATTATAATATAATCTGAAGGTATTCTGGGAAAGGACAATTTTGGGGTCCAAATAAAGTGATATGAATAATTCCTGGCCATATAGCCTATATAACCTACATAATAGCAGAACTTAAACCACATATTCACATCAAATAGGATTCTTTAGATTCTAAAACAAAACAGGGAAAGGGGGAAGAAGGAGAAGGAAGAAGAAAGAAGTTCTAAGTTACTTAATTGAACAGCCAATAGATATTGGCAAGTATGGCCTATGATGGCATCTCTCAGGGGTCTAATAAAGAATAGCCTCTTTCTTGTCTAAGTGCAAAATGTAGATAAATAATAAAAGTAACAAAAAAAGATAAGAAGCCTTTGTTCTTGATAAGGACTAGGTTGGGAGATGTGTCTTATTTATATAGGCAAGTGTGCTTTCTAATACCAGATTCTAGAATTAGATGTGTATACCCAGCATCAGCAACATTAGACCAGAGCAGTTCTCTTCACAAAGAAATTCCTCTCCTGAAGTTGCCAAGAAAAATGTGTGCCCCCTGTGGTAAAGAGTAGGACCTGGGCTACAATGTTGTTTTTTCTTCCCAAATAGACCAATTAGATTAAGTCTTCCAAGAGATAAATGATGAGCACAGAGAAACAAGGAATGCTATGTTAAGGGGCTCCTCTTCTGTGGATGGTATACTAGCAGTGGAGAATAAGCATCCACCACCCAACAGCATAATTCAAGGTTTTAAACAAAGTAGCTAGGCTTATCTCTCTACTCTACTTCCTTCCGTTGCTAACTTTGCTGTGTCCTTTCACTGTAATAAATCATAGATGCAAGTGATTCTATGCTGAGTCCTATGAAATCCTTCTAGTGAATCATTGATCCAGGAGGTTTGGTCTAGGGGGGCTTGGATATACTCAAAAAGACATGTGTTGCCTTGGCCGATTTGGCTCAGTGTTTAGAGCATTGGCACACAGACCGAAGGGTCACAGGTTCAATTCCAGTCAAGGGCATGTACCTGGGTTGCAGGTTCTATCCCCAGCCCCAGTCAGGGTCATTCGGGAGGCAACCAATCAATGTGTCTCTTTCACATTGATGTTTTTCTCCCTTCCTCTCTCCCTTCCACTTTAACTAGAAAGAAAGAAAGAAAGAAAGAAAGAAAGAAAGAAAGAAAGAAAGAAAGAAAGAAAGAAAGAAAGAAAGAAAGAAAGAAAGAAAGAAAGAGTATCCTTGGATGATGATTAACACACATACAAAGACATGTTTCAGGCATGTGTATTGGGAAGAAACAGATCCTTCAATCTCAAGACAGAGGTCAGGACATGCCTCAGAGATATGAACTGAAGTAGAGAAAATCATGAGATTCCCCCAAATACTTAACAACCTTCTGCTCAAACTGAACCAGCCATCTAAATCCTCACCCGAGGACATTTTTTTCCATTTTTCGCTCAGATAGAGTGGGAGGGAGAGCGAAGAAGAAGAAGAAGAAGAAGAAGAAGAAGAAGAAGAAGAAGAAGAAGAAGAAGAAGAAGAAGAAGAAGAAGAAGAAGAAGAAGAAGAAGAAGAAGAAAGAGAGAGAGAGAGAGAGAGAGATTAATGTGAAAGGGACACATCGAGTGGCTGCCACCCGCAACCAACCAGGGCCGGGGACAAACTGCAACCAAGGTACATGCCCTTAGTGGAAACTGAACCCAGGTCTCTCTGGACCGCAGGCTGATGCTCTAACCGCTGAGCCAAACTGGCCAGGGCGAGAACCAGCCATCTAAAGACCACTGGCTATGTACGTGAGTATGAGTGAGAATGTGACTGTGTGTGAGTGTGTGAATGTACTTTTGGGTTCATTGAGTGATGATGAATTAGTGCATATGTGTGCACATGTGAGTGGGTGTGAATATGAATATGTGTGAGTATGTTTGTTTGTGAGTGTGAGAATGTGAATAAATGTGAGTGTGTGTGTAGCAAGACCCTGCTGAGGGCAATGAGGATGTTCTAGAGTCTATAATAGAAAGTGCACAGCACAGCCATGTGAGGTTTCATCAAGGATCTTTGCAAAAACGCATTTAGGCCTCCAGACAGGAGTTGTTCCAAAGCTCGTAATAGTTCATCCAGGGTAGAGTGTACATCAAAAAATCACAAATGAAACTCTGTGGAAAGAGAAAGACAGCCGCTTTCAGGGAGATAATTTTTTTAAGGCAAACCAAAAGCTCTTGCTCCCTGAGACCCTCACTGGGAAGTTTAGAATCATCACTGAGGCTGCACATTGACTATGTGGGTGGGGAGAATCTTCTCACAGTCATCTGATAGGGGCAAAGGGGGTTTCAGGCCCAGAAGGGGAATGTCACCCTGGGCTCGCCCTGCCCAGCTACTTGGGACCTGGAGCAGGCATGTCTGGATAGCCCCCCTCTGACCCCATTCCTCCTGCACATGTACCCAGTCACAGAGGGAATCTCATATTTGCCATCACATGGTGCCACCAAGAGGAACCAGAAAGAGGGTGGGCAAATTCTGGAAGACAAGGAAGCAATTGAACAACCCTCAGAAACCTTGAGAGTACAAACCAAGACCAGAAAAAGTCCTCAAGGGAAAAAAAGGCTGCTTCCAATGAAGGCCAGGAGTGGGCCAAGAGACCTGGATATCAGGAACCTGGCCTGTGCCAGCCCCAGATTGGAGGGACTGCTCAATTAGGGAACCTTCTTCCCACTCCCAGCACCTCTGATGGCTTCAGCAGCCCTACTAAGACTGTGCCTTAGCTCTGCCCCAATCTCCACACAGCTATAAAAGCTGTCAATGTTCTATTTGTGATAACTTTAAAATTTTTCTACTTTTCTCTCTTTGATTAGGAGTCCCTTCTCAGATGACTGCCACCACACACCTTTTTCAAATTTTTCTCACTTTGACGGGGGCATGAACGACTTCTTGTGCTGTTCTTCTTGCACTTGGTTCGGCTAATCTTCACAGTGACGAGATATTCCACTCCTGTTGTCAGCTACCAAAAGACAATAGCACTGTTAGTTTTGATTCAAAGCATCCAGTTGCTAGCTCTTGCCAGAAAAGCCTATAATGGAGAGTGAAACCTCAAAAACCACATACTGTGTCTGGCTCGTCTACAAAGGCATGGCTCCCTCCTCTCCCTCCAGCTTCAGGATGCACAGTGGCATCAAGGCCTCTGGTTAGTTCCCAGCATGTGCAAAACCCATTCCCTTCCTCTGCACTGGATTCACTACTACAGGCAACAGATAGGTCTCAACTATAACCCTTGCACCCTAAGACAAGGTAGGCAACACATGGAGCTTGACAGACTGGCAGTGCCACAGTGCCCCCCAGTCTGCATACATGTTCCTCAGAATTTATAAAGCCAGCCATGCCTTATCTCTCTGCTCTTCTAGTCTCTTCAGTCATGTCCTCCTTTCCTACTCTCCTTTACAACTGACCTAATGGGAGGCAGTCAGCATCCCAGTTCAAAACATAAGCTTGGAAGATTCAAGATGGCTGCAGTATAACTGGAGGCTATGCACCTTACTCCCAGCCAGGGGTGGGATTTAAAGCTAAAATACTATGCAATCAACTTAAAACAAGAAAAAAACAAGGGAAGTGTAGCTGACTGGACATATTATATCTAAGAAACAACACAGAGAGTGGTAAGAGGAGGGGAATTGTGAAAAGGGGGCACCCCTCTGGAGCAGGTATGTGGCTGAGAGGCTGAGCAATATGAACTGAAAAGCTTAATCCCCCTGGTAGTGTGGGATCTCAGCTCCACACAGTGATCCCAAACACACAGCAGCAGATACTAGAAGAAGAGCTCTCATAGCATCAGGCAGAGGGAACCAAGAAAATTCTGTCTGCCTGGGAAACTGAGACCACACCTTCCTGGGGAAGGAATACTCCTATTGTTAGCAGCCACAGCCTGGGAAGTTTGTTTGGGATCTGACTAATAGAAATGCTGTGATGCAGAGTTTAGGTCCAGCAGAGGAGCCTACTGGCAGCACCCAGCAGTGACTTTGAGGGATCCTATACTATTTTGAAAGGCATTGTGCATAGCCCCAGATAGTGACTGAATTGTTAGGCTTAGAGAAAAAGAGAAAGGATTTTCCCACTTCTAGTGTGGGTTGGGAATCCCTCCCCACACTGAGGAGCAAACTGGATTGCTCCATCTTTTGGCATTGGAGGCATGGAGGATAGGGCAAGTCGGGATATTTGAACTGCACTGCAGAGAATTGGGAGCAGGAGTAAAGCTGCTAAGTTTGACCCCCGCATTGCTGAGAGTAGCCATGCAGAAAAATTAATCTTGTGCAAGGCTGGTTTCCTAACCCCTTCTGCTTGGGCCTGTGGCATGAGGGTGTGGGTCCCACGCAGAGCTGGTATTTTTGGACTGTATCCCCTGGAAGGTTTCTATTAGGAAAACAGGAGCCAGTGTGAGTTTTGTGACTGCATTGTGAGGAAACTAGTCCAAACCCCTTGTGAGTACAGCCAGGCAGCACTGAGGAGAGGTAAAGCCCATGTCCCCATCCTGCAGGCTGCAAACACCACCCTCAACATGAGATTGGTTCAGCTCTGTGAAGTCCCAGATACCCACACTGGGCACAGTTCTGTGGGCAATGGGAGAATGAGTAAGATCAGGACATTTCAAGTTTGAGACCTTCAGAGGCTCTGGTATCTGGAGGAAGTGCTTAGCTCCCTCCTATGGTCAGAAACACTCTCAACCAAAGACATTGGCAGGCTCTGGAGGAAGACCAGGCAACCTCCAGAGGTGGGGTAACTGACAGGTGGCAGTGGACCTCAGGGAACCTCAGTTTGACCACATATTTGCCCCCATCTCTAAGACGGAAGAAGCTGATCCATTTATAGATTGGTCCCTCTCATGATCTCACAGGTCTATCAGAGGTAGACACAAACAATGAACAGAGTGGTAATTGCACACATGCAGCCCAACGTCAGCTACTCACAGCACCTGACAGTGACCTGAATCTGAAACCCATTCAAAAGAACCTAAAAGGACCCAGAACCATCACAGTAGGTGAGGAGCCTCAAACCACACCAGAGTTTGACCCAACTAAACAAACTAATGGCACACCCAAAGGTGGATCTTGGCAGGCTCCAAACTCTGCTGAGATCAACCCAGCCTTGGTGGGGAGCCCCTGAACAGCATTCCATAAGATTATACCTCTATAAACACCCAGCCCAAAAAGTTAATGATTGTGCCACTGAGCCTATCAAGGCACCTTGAGACTGTACCAGCACAGAAGTTTGCACACCATGGTTGGGGTTGAGCCTCATAGTCAGCCAGCCTCGGGGTTGATCCTAACCACAAAAGGGTCATCAACAATTAAGACAAGAGGGTTCAAACAATCTGCACAGGAGGCATTCCTAGAGCACCCTGCTCAATAGATCAAGTAGACTGCACTACTGGGAGCCACAACAACCTACAACAGAAGTTCACTCCACCAAGATTAGAAGTTATAGCAGTTCTACCAGAAACATAGAAACAAGCAAAAAGAAACAGCCAAAATAGTGAGACAAAAATACAAGCCCCAAATGAAAGAACAGGAGGAAACTCCAGAAAAGGAGCTAAATAAAATGGAGGTGAGCAATTTATCAGATAGAGAGTTCAAAGTAATGGTATGAGGATGCTCAAAGAACTTAGTGAGAATAACAACAGCATAAAGAAGAATATATAACTATGAAAAATAACCAGTTGGAAATAAAGAATGCCATATATGAAATGCAGAATACACTGAAAGAAATTGTCAGTTGGCTAAATGAGGCAGGGGGTCGAATTAGTTAATTAGAAGAGAAAAATTAAAAAATTACTCAATCAGAACAGGAAAAAAAACACATAATAATTAAAAAGCAGGAGAATAGTTTAAGGGAACTTCGGGACAATATGAAACATAACAACATCTGCATCATAGGGGTACCAGAAGGGGAAGAAAGTAAGCAAGAAAAAAGAGAACCTGTTTGAAAAAAAATAATAATAAAGGAGACTTCTATAACCTGGCAAAGGAAAATGTCACACAAGTTCAGGAAGCACAGAGAGTCCCAAACAAGATAATCACAAAGAGACACACACCAAGACACATAATTAAAATGGCCAAGTTTGAGCACAAAGAGAAAATATTAAAGGTACCAAGAGAGAAATAGTCAGTTACCTATAAGGGAGTTTCCACAAGGCTGACAGCTGATATCTAAACAGAAATACTCAGGCCAGAAGGGATTGGCATGAAGTATTCAAAGTAATGAAAAGCAAGAACCTGCAACCAAGACCTCTCTATTCAGCAAGGCTATCATTTAAAATCAAATGTGGAAATAGATAGTTTCCCCCACTAAAGGAGACTAAAGAAATTCATTACCAAAAAACCAGCATTGCAAGAAATGCTAAAGGGACTGTTTTAAGAAAAAGAAAAAGAGAGAGAGAGAAACATAGCAAAAAAAAAAATGACAATGAATAAGTACCTATCAGTAATAACCTTAAATGTAAATGGATTAAATATTCCAATTAAAAGACATAGAGTAGCCAAATGGAGAAGAAAACACAACCCACATATATGCTGCCTACAAGATACATACAGGCTGAGAATGAAGAAATGAAAAAAAAAAAAAAAAAAAAGTAGTCCATGCAAATGGAAACCAAAAATAAAAAAGCTACGGTAGCAATTCTTATATCTGACAAAATAGACTTCAAAACAAAGGCCATAACAAGAGATAAAGAAGGCTACTACATAATATTAAAGGGATCAATCCAACAAGAAGATATAACTTTTATAAACATATATGTACCCAATATAGGATCACCTAAATAAATAAATAAAAATTTGGTGGACTTTAAGGGAGAGATTGATAGAAATGCAGGCATAGTAGGGGATTTTAACACCCCACTGTCATCAATAGATAGATCTTCCAGCCAAAGCACCAGCAAGAAAACAACACCCTTAAATGACACACTAGATAAAAGTATGTAATTGATATTTAGAGAACATTTAGTCCAAAGCAGCAGAATATACATTCTTCTTAAGTGCACATGGAACATTGTCAAAGATAGACCACATGTTGGGCACAAGACTGAAATCATATCAAGCATCTTCTCTGAACACAACAACATGAAACTAGAAATAAATAATGATAAGAAAAGCTCAAAAATATTCAAACACATGGAGGATAAATAGCATGTTATTAACCAGTGAATAAAGGACCAATGAGATCAAGGAAGAAATAAAAACTTACCTGGAAACAAATGAAAAAGGACACACAAACCACCCAAAATCTATGAGATACAGTGAAAGCAGTCCTGAGAAGAAAATTCATAGCATTACAGGCCTACCTCAGAAGCAAGAAAATGCTCTACTAAACTATCTAACACTGAACCTAAAAGAATTGGAAAAAGAACAGCAGGAAAAGCCCAGAGTAAGTAGAAGGAAGGAAATAATAAAGATCAGAGGAGAAACAAATGACATAGAAACATAAAAGACAATACAAAAGATCAATGAAACCAAAAGCTGATTATTTAAAAGGATAGACAAAATTGATGAACATTTAACCAAACTCATTAAGAAACAAAAAGAACAGACCCAAATAAATATAACCAAAATGAAAGCAAAGAGGTAACAACAGACATCACAGAAATATAAAGTATTACTAACAAATATATGCCACACACACACAAAAAAATAGACAAAATGGACAAATTCCTAGAAACATAAACCTTTCAAAACTGAATCAGGAAGAAGGATAAGACCTGAATAAACTAATAACAACTAATAAAATCAAAGCAGTAATCAAAAAACTTCCAGCAAACAGAAGTCATGAACCAGATGGTTTAACAGGCAAATTTTACCGAACATTGTAAAATGACCTAACACCTATTCCAAAAAATTCAAGAAGAAAGAAGACTGCCAAGTTATTTTTTTGAGGTCAACATTATCTTCATACTAAAGAGAGGAAAGGGAAGGGAAGGGGAGGGGAGGGGAGGGGAGGGGAGGGGAGGGGAGGGGG